TGGACCTGTCACGATTCGGCTCCGCCTGCCACCTGGGAGGTGCGTGGACCCCACACTGCCGGCCTGTGAGTGCCCGAGTCTGCACACAGGCGGCATGGGCTGCCTAAGCCCCACTGGGCTGCAGGGGGGAGGTCTGGTTACCAAGGGGCCCGTGGCGCCCATCCTGTGACATAGCAGAACTGTCCTGAGTGCTTTAGGGAAGCCAGGGACTGGGGAAGCAGCCCTCCCACGCTGCCCTGTACCTTCGCCCACTCTCCGCACACAACCCCTTCTCCTGGCCCAGAGTGGCTGCGTGGAGCCGGCCATCACACCTGCATCCCCACAGCCAGCATGCTTGGCTCCTGCAGGCTGCACTGGCGCCCTGGCACACGAGCTGGCCCGGGAGTACCCGGCGCTCAGGGTGACCGTGTTTGACCTCCCCGACGTCATCGAGCAGGCGCACGTGTTTCGGCCCCACGGACCTGAGAGGACACGAGTCAGCTTCGTGCCTGGTAACGCCATGCTTGCCTCTGCTGTGGGTGAAGTCTGCCGGGCCTGTTGACGTCTTTTCGTGTGAGTGAGTGGCGTGTGTCTGTGTGTTGTCCGTGTGTGCGCGTGTGCCAGCCGACTGCCTTGTGTGTGCCTGTGTGTGTGTGTGTGTGCTGTTCTCCGAGCCCGTGGGCAGAACTGGGGGCGGGGACTCCGTGCTGGCCCAGGTGACCCTGACCCGGGCTGCTCCGATCACCCCTTGCCGTCCGCACAGGCGACATCCTCCGAGACGCACTCCCTGCCACACAGCTGTACGTCCTGGCCCCGCCGCCGCGAGCCGCGGACCTGCACGGGCTCCTGCAGAGGGTGGCCGCGGCCTGCAGGCCAGGTGAGAGCCCGGGCAGCCCCGAGGCTGCGGCGGGAGGACCCCAGGTGCTCTGTGTGCAAGCTGGGCCCGGCCACCTGGACGGTCCCGGGACCATGCAGGACGGACACTTGGGGGCCAGCGTGTGCGCCCTGGCTCAGTGGCCTGTCACCCGGGGCGGTTCCCTGCCCGGCTGTCTGTCGTGTCGCAGCCTACACCCACCGCCTGGGTGTGCAGCCACTTCTGCCGCCGCCTGTCTGACTCTGTCCGTCCAGCCCACCCGACCTGTGACGCACTCAGCCCACCCAGCCACCCTGCCTC